GGCTTTCCGAATTCCGGTCAATATAAAAAAGTGTAGCTATTAAATATGTATACCTCGCAGACTTATTGTTGCTTCTGTCTCGGAAAAATCTAAATACCACGAGATAGTTTCTCTAAAACATATATTCGTAATTGAAAGTATCCGGATGGCCCCATAAGTGTGTAGAAAAAATCAGACGGGGTCAAAAATAGGATAATATTGTGAATACCGAGTTCACTAACCGCAAATTGTAAAACTTGACGAGTATAGATATAATAATAATAATATTAATATAATAAAAGTAATCATAAGTAATAAAATTAATATTAACACTACATGTACGATAGTAGCATAATTTAGTTTAGCAATTTTTTTCAATACGAGTTTTCATCCAAAAGACTTCAAAAAATGACATTTTTGCCACTATCCAAAATATGTTAGAAAAATTGATACATTTTTTCAACATCATATTGAGTATATATTCTTGAGATATGGACTTGAGTTAATATTGTTTTATTATTTATTATATCTTAATAGATATATTTGGTATATTCACTGCACTACCTCATCTTCACGTGGAGACTATTTGCACCAACCTATCTATTGTAATAGTTTATGTACAAAAACATCAAAAGTAAGAATGATGAATACGTTTTGATTTTACGAATAGATTTAACAAATGTTAAAAAAAATTAAAATAAAAATCGAAAATATATATCTTTATAACTATTTTTATTTTTTAAATATACCACTTGAATACCATTCAAATACCATTTGAATAAACCTGATATTTTTGAAGTTTCTCTAATATCGAATTGTCCATCCATCTTCTACGTCCAAAACGATGTTCGCCCGATTTTTTATTTTGTATATTCTTATTGTACATGTGAAAAAACACATTTTGAAAGAAAATTATCGAATGGTTGCTAAACAAACAATTGTTCCGAGATGAGTTACAAGATGTATTTATTTATTTATTTAATATGATTAACGCCAAATGGTTTTTTCGAAGTAACATTAAGTATAAGATGATAACACATTTGTAAGATTATACATTTATTGATAATAAATAAATAAAACAAACAATATGCTCCGAATTTAAAACAAGTAGCGAACAGTTAAGATGTGTTCCTCAGTACCCAAGTCAAAGTGAGATGTTATCATATGCCATTCTAGTTTATACACAAATTAGTTTTACTGATGGGGAGATAAAAAGTACCTTGAAACTTGGTATAGCTAGGAACCCGGTTGCTGAATTTTTTAAATTGTCTTGAAGCGTCGACCTTCAATTAACCCACGAATGAACTCGTTACCAATACTATTACACCTCACGTAAAATGGTCAAGATCGAGTAGCTGGCTGATAGTTGTCTAGTCATTTTCAAGGTGAGGGATTCTAAGACACTACCCAATGAATCTCAGGAAATGGTCTTGGATTCTAACAAACTGCTAAATATCAGCGGCCATTATCACCAAATTTTTTGGATCAAATTCAGTTGTTGACGGCAAAGGGCTGAAGTTAGCAGAGACTTCCAGCCCCTTGATCGCCAACAACCATTGGCGGCCATTATTGCCAGCTATATTAGAATCATGCTGGGTCCAATATAGACATAAAATGTTTAATTCGGTGTTGTTCACGAATTTATGATTTGGTGGAAAATCAAAGTTTACCAGTCAGTTAGTGCATTTTACTATATCAAATTCATAGTATACAAATCAAATTTGGGAAATATATAATCATTATTCATTAATTCATTTCATTTTTAATTTATACTTTTATATTCTGAGTGGAGCGAAGAATGTATTGGTTTTACTAAGATGTTCATTTTTTTTTTTATTATTATTATTATTATTATTATTTTATACTGTGTACAAAAATTCGACTAGAAATCTTGCTCCGATATACATGCGTGACACCATTTCTGAAAGGAAATATTGTCCAAATGGTACTTTTAAGTGGTCATTTTTGATTTTCTAAATGGTTTTCATGATATCTGAGAAAAATCAGGATAAAACGTAAGAAAAACGGGAAATGTATGAAACTAATGCTTTGATTAATTTATTAATTTTGTTATTTGTTGTAATTCAGTAAAAAATATTTGTAAATACGTGAAATTTGGACAGAAAATTTATAATCGCATTTTCTAGACATTGTAAAATTAAAAAATATTTTTAAGGTATTTATAGACATTTTAATTTAGAGTTTTGTACGTAATGTTTATTCAGTAGGTAGATACTCTATGGTAAAATTGTTGACTTAAACAGAAATTTTCAAAATTTAACAGGAGGTTCATTAATAGTTTTATTTTGTGGTATAAAAAAAAAAATAAGTTTAATGTAGTAGTTTTTTGTAAGAGAATTTTAATATCAAATTTTGACAAAAAAATTAAATGTGGAACAAATATAATTTTTTAATTTTTTTTTTTTCGTATATATGTATATTGCCGAGTTCAAAACGATGGTGAAGTCAGAGTAAGTCAGAGTCAGTTAAGCGCACTGACTAAGTTTCGGAATTATAGCTTTTCGAAGTTCTGATATTATGCGAATATTATGTGTTATGTTAAACAAATCTATATTATCCTTATAATCAATAGTGAAAGATAAATTCTAGATAATAAAATCTTTATTTTATAATTGATAAATCATTTTTTAAAACAGTTGAAATGAACATGAAAACAAATAGGGAACGAAATTTTCATTGATATCCTTTTGGAGATTAATACACCAATATTGGTTACCGCTAATGACAGAACTGGTCTAAAACTGGTGTCAAATTTTTTTCAATTTCAATAACGGTTTCAAGCCCCGGTTTTCTCCTTTTTCAAAATATAATTATCAAAAAAATCAACCCACATAAATTTCAATCGTATGTCTACCACGATTAATAATTTTCCAATTTCAGCCCCTTCAATTCCATAAGGATTCCGAGAAAGAATATTCAAATAACTCAACATATAACTTTTGTTTGTAAATCATAGTAAATGGTGCCTATGTTAAATATGAAATAAATATCGTACACAATAGCGTACGGAGACCTCACTTAAAGATACTGTACAAGAGAGAGGGTGTGTTTCAATACATATATACAGCCGTATATATATTCCATATGCTTAATTTCAATAATAATTATTTGCTCTTCATCCGTCGCTCTTTCGTGGCCCCGTTCAGTATGTTTACAGATAGCAGTGGTTGAAAACTTACAGGTACATATTTTTTCATATTTGTACCTTTATTATTCGTAAAAATATTAATAAATAATGTTATGGATAATTGTGATAATAATTGTTTCATTAGAGTGTGTATAGTAGTACCTATTAATTGGTATTTTTATTTTTCGATAGGTAATAACTATCGAAAATGCTATCAATGCTTCATTGCTCTTAATTATTGAACACATTGTTGAGCACATTATTAAAGTTATTCGATCCCATAATTTTGAATAGTAAACGAGTGTTCACTTTCTAAAAATAATATGTGTGGTAAATTCATGATATTATTATTTATTATACTTTAATTTGTTGAATTATAGTAAGAAAATAAAGTATAGTCAATTTTAGCTTTTTCAAAGAACACTAATTTTTAACGAATATTGTTCTTATGTATATGATATGGTTAAGTGATACATAGAGAGATACTAAACCAAAGTGCGGCAAATTTGGATTTTGCCTATTCATAGTGTATACATTTTGTCTAGAGTCAGCCCTGCTAATAGCGATTTGTTAAATTTACTCAGAACCTTAAACTAATGAGTAAAAATAAAATTACACTTAGTTATATTTAACCAGACTTCATAAAGAGAGAATAATGTGTTTAGGATAGATTTTAATAACCTAAATTTAATCATGCAAAAGAAATACGAAATACGGTTAAGTACCTATTTAATTTAATATACCTATAAATTACATAAGTTCCTACCTCAGTTTTTAATTCGTCAAGATCTTTATTTTTAGATACATCAACCTTTTTTAGCTAATTGGGACCCAAGCAGTTTCAATCTGATTTAGTTTAACTTCTTCTCTCAACGGAAGTGACATACGAGTACATATGGTGTTTTGTTTAGCTGTTTTACTAACCGTTTTTCTTGGATTACTATTTCTTTTAACACCCGGTTGCTAAATAAAAAATATACATTAACAATACAATATCCTTTTATCTTTATTCAATAATAAATTTAATTTTTGAAAATAATAATAATTTATATATTTACCGTCATAAACATACCACCTCGTTGACTATTTACCATTACTATTACTAGTTTTTAAATAGTAAGGCACAAAAACTGTTGCACTAGTAATTTGTGATTTTGGAAAATTTTGAACCATTGCCTAAAATTAATTTAAATTATATTTTTGACCAAAAACTAGTTTTAAAAAAAAATCTTAGATGTCTTTATTTTACTTACTTTTAATGGACCATATTGTGATTGATTGGATGATTTTATAATTATGATCCAACTTTTCAATACATCGGGTTTATTTGACAAATAGGCTCATTTCCAAGTTGTGATAAAAATGATTTTGAATAAATTCTATAACCATTTTAGTTTGTAACACTCCATTGACCTATAAATAACTCACTTATAAATTATAATTATGCATACAAGATGGAAAAGAATAACAATCAAACGTTCAGCGTTTGATTACACGTTTGTTAATTTGTCTAAATAACTTGGTCAGTTACAAACTACTTCAGGTTGTATTCCAAAGATTTTAGTTTGTGATACATCTTTATTTTCATTGGTCAAAACAAATTCACTTTCTTTCTTTGCTTGCTATATAATTAAAATACATCTTACAAATATTTATTACACAATTGAATTTGAACATTTGTGTTTAATATTAAGGATTTTAGTTGATTGCATGTGGAAATCTATTAAACAGTTATTTGGTAAAATAATCAGTTGAAGATAAATTAAAATTTCAACCACAATGTTATAGAAGAATAATTTTAGATTCCGATCGTAGCGTGTTGTGCTATTGGTTTTCCTAAGATGTTTATTTTTTCTTTCTTTTTTTTTCTAATCTGTGGACCCATTTTTTCCTTGTAAACTTGCTCAGATTTTGACATGTAGCAACTTTTCTGAAATCTTAAGTTGTCTAGATGGTACTTTAAAGAGATCATTTTTTGATTATCTCAATCAATTATTCACTAAAGTGGGAAAAAATGTAGGAAAACGTACAATTTCACGATTTCATTGTTTTATAAAAGCATGGACGATGTTTTTTCCTATTGCTTACAGATATAAATGAAATAACTTTATGGATCCTACCTTCCTAACTTCTCACCTACAACAGTGGCCGCTCCCATCACAAGAATCAGCTCTTTTTTTTAAAGTTTCACACTGTAGGCTAGATAACATTCACAGTTCCTCCGCCGTTATTAGTTCAAAGATGGAATATGGTTCCTATTCACATTGATCAAATATATACAAAATAAATACATAGTATATTTAATCAATGCTATTGGTATATATTATATAATACAAAATCACAAGAACTATCGCCCGCAATCTCCCGAGATGCATATTTTCCAGTAGCAAAGTATAATATATCAGTAAGAGATTATCACGAGAATCATTTTCGTGCCGAAAACTCACAGTTCTCTTCTACTAATTACGTATTACCACCAAACGTTAAGAAAATAACATAATGGTAGTGATCTGTACTATCTGAGTTTTGTAAATATGAAAATATACTACGAAAATGATATTTTGCGATTACTATTGGCTATTCCATTAATATATTATTATTTGTTATTGATAAAACCGTGAATCTGCGAATATTTAAATAGGTAATCACAGGATAATCAATATTTGTACGGAATGATAAAACATTTAAAACCAATGCATTCAATAATGAGGGTGGAAATTAATAAATAAACCAATTAATTTGCGGGTTTATACTTGATACTGGTTTAATAAAATGAATGCCTATACGCTTGTGATAAAAAATGTAAAAAACATTTAAAAAACTAAATGATTTTAATTTCTGGAAAATTATGTTCCATAAAACAACTTTCTGGGAAATGAATTTCTATAAGTTTATTTTTAGATTTGGAGTGAATTTTTTATTTTATCTGAACACTTTCTACCAAAATTCTAGCTCCCGTGTATCAAGTGTAGCAAATTTTTTGAATTAAAATTGTATTTAATTGATGCATTAGGAAGGTCCTTTTTTGATTTCCCAAGTGGTTTTTATAATAACTGGAAAAAAAATTGAATATCGTCTTTATATACTTTTCATTGCTGATAAAATAATTAATTAATAATTAATAGGTTAAGTTTTAGGATATTTTTTTCCGTTCTAATGCGTTTTTCTTAACGCGGGGTTAGGTTAGGCAATCTCCAAAAAAAACTACGCTTTGTGTGGTTCATCTAAGTAATACCAATATAATAACTCTAATAGCTATAAGGAGATACGGGTACTTACCTAGATAAATGTTTTTTTTAAACTATAAGCGTGTCAATACTTCTGTACACAAGTTTTATGAGCACAGAATTTAGACATATTAACAAAATACGTCTATGGCACAGAAGTTATAATTTATATGTATCTCAATCATCATGATAAATTAAATTGCAGTTAAGAATATAATTAAATTATTCAAGCCCGGGGTTTTTTTTTTTAATGTGCTGTAGTTGTAGGTCAACGCATTCAAAATACCAATATATAATTCGATTCATATCTTTCAAAACAGATATTTCGAAAGTGAAAATTTCATCGTGTATTTTTCACTGTTTTATTTTTGGTAAATTTGTAATAGTAATTTGATAATGACGGTATTGCCGAAAACAAGGTTTTTTTGGGACAGGAAGCACATTAGGATGTTAACATAATTATTTTATTTTAATAATTTTTAGGAAATCGAAAATCCTGGTTCTATCATCGTGTTAAACATTTAAAATAATAATTACATTATTACGCAGTTACAAACAGAAGAAATTTTAATGAAAATAAACCTAGGATGAGAGAGAGCAAATGGAGAGCAAGACCGAAAAGAGGTGATTGGATGCGAGGATAGCCGGTGTATGTGAAATGGAAGATCGGGAGCGAAAGTTTATAACGAAGATGGCCGATCTCAAATAATTGAGATGAAAGCGAAGGAGAAGAAGAAAATGAAGCTACAAGGTTATAGTCCAGTGCCCGATATTTATAATATATAACCACGCCACCGTACAAATTATTATTCTTTATTATAGGGAACTGATTATTTATTCATTAAATAATTTGGGTCGATACTGACCTAATACAAGGGGTCCATGTTAACGAAAAAAAAAATTTGGGTGCATATAAATAGGAGTCCATGGGAGTTATTAAGTGTGCATCATAATTTTTACGAAAAACACGTGTGTAACAATGTGAACAATAAACAACATTGTCGATAATGACTAACGAGTCGACTGTAATTATCTGCTCAAAGGGGTTACTCAAAGGAGTAAAATAGAGGATAAAAATGTACTCCGATTTTTAAAAAACTGTGTAACTTATTTTAGAGGTTTTAAACTTAGAGTGGGGAAAAAGTGTGCTGTACCTTCTCGTGGTCATCCTTGTTTAGTAGTAATGTTAATACTTAAAAATCAGAGTGCATAAACAAGATATTTCGAGTATGCAACGCAAAGCCAAACAACACAAATCAGACGACCGAACGTAGAAAGACCTCCCGGTCTTATTGGTAAAAACAGCCATTTCCAGAGCTATCCATTGGAAAGACTTAGAGTGACTGTTCTCGTACCTAAAGATAAAACTCAATTAGGACTACCACCTCTATCATAATAATTCTACATCAAAAAACCTAATCAACTATTGTCATAACGTACGAGAAACGGTTCTATATGACGTAAATAGTATTGGAAGCGATAAAACCCACTCTATCCCCAAATGTTCAAAGTGATGTCAAGTTAAACTCTATGCCTCTGTTGAAGGAGTAATGGTTGATAAAGAGAGTGATTTTAAGCTTAAAATAGAATTTCCTGAGATGAGTCCCTGAGAAAGATTGAAATATATTCCAATGTCGAGGATGTACGGAAATGGTTAATGGACATCGAAATGGTCCCCGACGGTGAGGAGGTTAAACGTTGGTGATTTATTGGCCAAAATGGGATGTTTCCGGTAACGTCAAAATATTTAACGATAGAAGGTTCCCCTGGTAGATACTAATTTAAACCAAAATGTATGGTGTTTACTGTATACAGTACACCCTAACTATCTTGTACGTACATGTAAAATGCACACGGATAAAGTCACGGGTAATACAGCTAGTTAATTATTATTATAAAATACGAAGTACTTATACAAACCGCAAAGCTTACAATGTTCTTTTTGTATATTATAAATTAGATTCAACAGTAATCGAATAATATACTTAACGTATACGTATATTAACAGGTCATTAAATCATTATTAATTGTATTAATTATAGTGCGTAATTCATATAATTCAGACGGTGGTCAGTCATTTTGTACAGTACAATGATTACCAATCCTCAATAGATCTCAACGGACTATTTTGATTTAATCTAAATTTTAATTGGCGAATAAAACAACTTCTTGCAATAACCGCTGACTTTTCAAACTGGTGGAGTTCAATAACAGTGTTTTATCGCCTTAGTGTTACCTAATGATGATTTTATGGATTCTGAACGAAACGTATTGGTTTTACTATAATGTGTGCGTTTTTTTCTGTCCGTCATTCTGTGAACCACTTTTCCACCAGAAATGTTGCTCCGTTTGTCAACTCTTTTATAGCAAAAGTTGTCTTGTTGATGTGTTGAGGTATTTTCTTATTAAATTTCAATAATTTACATAAGATAAAATATGTTTATGAATATTTTCTATTATTATTAAATTTTAGTTCGTTTTTTATGCGTGTTATTTAAAAATGCCACAGTTAAATGATTTTTAGTCACATAGCGTGAAAATAATTTGCTCACCCTATCGGAAAAAGGAAAATCATAACTCGGATTAATCATTGATGAGAGCACACAAACAAAACTTGTTCAAAGCGTTTTTCGATATTTCATCTAGTTTTCACCAAAAGCCATATGGTGTGAAAATCTATAAAAAGTAGTGAATATTTTCCATTATTGTTTTTTTTTTTTTTAGTTTCTTTTATAAGCATGGCATTTAAAATTGTTTTTATTAACTATATTTGTTTTTTTTGTTTGTTATGATACAAACAAACGATTTAATTTTATCGATACCTGTTGTGCACGTTTAGCACGTTGATACATAATTTTATTACGCGTTATAAATAATATAAATTTACAATTTCAAACTTTTTCAAAATGTTTTTTTCTTTTTTTATACTACCGGAACATTAATACTAATATTACTTAAGTATTATATTCAAATGGTACGCAATACATTTTACCACGGATTACGTTGAAAACGTATTGACAAAACGAGACAACTGAATTCTTCGAAACTTTTCAAGGAAAATATTAAATGAATGATAAAATTAATATAAAAAAAATTATTTAAATGCCTTGGATCATAATAAACATAACGGAATACTTACTGATATATATGAATTATTTTTTTTTAAGTTTAAAATACATAATACATATAAGATAAGAAAGGCAAGACAGACCTCTCGCTAACTTTTAATATGGCAATAAATTCGCCATAATTTATTAATTTTTAAAATTTTTAAAAACTGTTTTCATTATCAAATAACATTCAAACCGAATTTCGACGAAAATGGAATTGTTTCGTTTTATAACGGACCCTCTAAATTATTAATTGTACATACGCACATACTTATAATACCTAATTATAATAATAGTCAACAACTAGTGTATTATAATATTATGGTAATCAAAGTATCGATATTTTACAAAGTTTGTCTCCTTTAATGGTATAGGTGAAGTGAATGTCACCGGTGCTATGTACACGCACGCACACAAACACAATTAAAATGAAGGTCAGTATCGTCAGAATCGTACTCGGACAAACTTGTTTTCGCGTCCAACTTTTGCCGATGACCGGAATCACGCACGCGGCGAACTAATCCCGACAAGACTATTATACTACTAGATATACATTTACCGAGGTTTTTTAAGGACGACGATTTTTATTAGTTTTTATTTTTTGTTTATAAGGTCGAGACAAAGTTCTCAAGGTCTAACGGATAGGCTTTAGACGAGGCGGATACACGCGTGTTATTTATTGTTCTAACACAATTTTATGCGAATCTACGAGCTCAGTAGCTGCCGATGTTGTGACGGCTATTCTACAGTTGAGAAACCATCTATACAATAATACTCTGTAAGAATTACAGCAGGGAAACCTATTGATTCCGTTAATTTAACATCGATTCCGCCAGTATCGACTCCGCCAATACAAGTAGTCCAAAACCCAACCTATCAATTCCGCTACCTGCACATTTTTACCTGTGGTTATTAATACAACACATATAAGTGCAGTTAACCAATATAAACATATTTTCTGTTTTTAATCATTTTATTTTTGGCTATTTGGATCTTAAGTCGAAAAATCTTCACTTTGGTGGGCCACCAGTATGCAGAGGGTATAGTAGTTGCTCAATAAAATAATAACTAAATATTAGTATTAGTTTACTCTACTAATTTAGACAAAAAAACTGAAAGTATTAGTGGATGAGTACTGATTAGATTATTATAGGTTGTTTCTGGATTATTCCAGATTCGTGTCGCTATTGCTAGTGACAGTTTATGGTACCAAAATAATGACGCTAACATTGTGATAGCCAGACCGTACATAATTATATCGTGAGGTACTGTGCACTTGTGCGCACAAGTGCACTCTTTCCGACGATGATGCACGAATGAACATTTTAAACAATATAACACTCGGCATAAGATGTAAATAAATATGAGAATGCTTCAGAATTCGGCGCTACGCTACAGTTGAATTTAGATCTCAATAGAATAATATAGTTTAAAAACCGAATACCACAATAAGGTATTTTAAATAAAAACCAGAGTGGAGTTTGTTTAACAACTGGGAGCCTTTAACTTAAATAACCAAATAGATAAAATAATTTATTTCTACTAGGTTTAAAATTAACAAAAATAGGCGAAAAGTATGCAATTTAAATGTAAATTTGTAAATCCCTATGTTATATAGAAATTTAAAATTGAAAATCAGGTTTCGAGATGCCGTCGGAACCCATCTGTCCGCCTATATTCAAAATATCAAATTTGACAGTGCTATATAATAATTTTTTTGTCCAAAACCCGTGTACCACCATCATTTGTTGTTGTCAAAATATTTTTTAAAATTTTTTTTTTTTGATGTTTTCATATTCTCTATACGCATAAAATAAATATTTCCATTGCCAAACGAAAAATCACTTTAAGATTTATGGCGTAACGCGTGAAAGTTTTTGACAAAATTTGTTTCACCTAATCAAAAAAATAGTTAGACAAAAAAAAATGTTTTTAAAATAGTTCGTGTGCTAATACATTACTTGATGACTCGATCTGTACAGAATAGAATATAGAATACGATTCAGACAAAATATTTATATACAACGTGTTATTTTGATTTTCGTTATCAGTTTTGAAAAGGGTAGAAAAGCCATAGTACTATTTTCGAAAACAAACGCCGGATCTGAGCAGTTGGTATGACGTTTCGCGTCCTCTCGTCAACGAGAAAACTCGCCGAAGTCGTCATAATACAGACAGGTATACAATGGATTTTACCGGCCGACGGAATAAATATAAACCTCCCCCCCCTATCTATTTGCGTTGTACTTTATCTTTTAACCGCAAACACAATAAAATGTCGTTGCGATCCACGGAATGAAATAACGTTGAACACGTGTAAAAAAAAAAAAAAAACGAATAATAATACCCAGGAATCGTCTTTGTCGCCTCGCGTCGTATTTTGCTTGCCGTTTATCTCATTCCGATCTCGTACGACAGCATGACGTATACCATCGGATATACTCGTACTTATTATTCTCTCGTATAGTACAGTCTCATTGGGTACACACGATTTGCCAACGGTCGCACACAATATTTCATTATTATGTTAATAACCATGAACGGAAAACTATTAATATACACGTATAGGTACTTATTATTATTGTGAATACGGCTCCTTGCAGGTGCATTTTATAAATCAGTATACCGCGTGGTACGAATATTATTAGAAATCAGTTTGGCCGCGAGCTATTGAATTGCCACCAGATGCGATATTATTATATTGTATTGCTATTTGCAATCACTGATCAGTAATCGCGTTAATTTTGTATTATATTCATACGGGTGCCTAACTGCGGATACCTATATGAGAAATCATGATAACGATTAAAGTTATATCGAATAAAAAAATACGCACGACGCGTTTTTTTTTTTTTTTTTTGTTTTGTTCGCGAATTGAACTTTGATATTTTTACGGATAGGTACTATTTTCCAATTTCAGTAGGTATATAATATGAATAAACCAATTTTACGAAGTTTTTATTCAGAAGGTTTGAAAGTCGGAGGCAAGACTCGTTATTATTACCGACTTCAGGCGCTTGTATGTCACGAAAGATTCACGCAAACAAAAAGAGTATCTCGAAACATTTATTGCGTTTTAATGACGTTTCCAACCACACCCCACGCAGTAGGATGCACGATAAACACAATATACAATAAACAATATTATGTGCTGGAGGTTCATATACGACGACACTTGCCTGCGAGATGTCGTCAAAATCGACATTGATATCGATCCATCACGGACGTAACGAAAATATATTTTTTAATGAAGCTTTCGTTCTGCGATAACTAAAACCAGATTTTCTGTTCGAGCAATTATGCTGTCGTGCGAGAGCATTGTTTCTGAATAAAAAAACGTAATATACCTACTGCGGGCAAAGCGGAATGCTACGTTTCAATCTGCTCGATTAAAACGTAGTTATAATACTCATACCCCGCACATACGGTGCGTAGTACATATATAAGAAAAATTAATATACTACGCACCGTAGAATAATGAATCACTTATGACCACGTGGAGTAAACATTCAAATAAATAATAGTACATGCTAAATGCGCATTATTTAAAATCCATTAAAAAAACATTTCGATAAGCTATATAAATAATAGAACACTCATATACCAGATGATCCATTTAGGTAAGTACACTCATTATTTCGGAAAGTATTAACTTTTACCAGAATTCGTTTTCTAGGACATTTAAGAAACAAGCTACCCTACAATTTTATGTGATTTTTGTCACCCTTATTTTTAGGGATAAAACCACTATTTATTCTTGCCAACTTGTAATAAAAAATCCATAAATAGACGTAGTATTCAAAATAAATTTCAATGTTGAAATGTTTGATTTCCGTCAATCTATTGACGAGATATTCCACTTTTAAGTTTGGGTTGGAGGAGTAGTGGAATATCAATTGTGTGGCAGCACAACGAATATTAATAATGCACCACCAAACTTAAAAGTGGAATATCTCGTCGACGGACTGACGGAAATCAAAAATTTCAACTCAACAATTTTTTTTAACTAATACTTCATCTATTAATAGAATTTTTGATATAGGTTAGTATTTGAAAATCAAAAGTAAGTAGTGGTTTTTCTCCCGAAAATAAAGGTGACAAAAAATAACATTAAAATAAAGTTGTAGAGCTGCTTATTTCTTAAATTTTCTAGAAAACAAATTCGGAAAAAATTAATATTTACCGAGACAATGAGTGTACCCACTTAAATGGATCACCCGGTACTACGCATTTGTGCGTGTATGTAATCATAGTCGTAGGATACAGAGGATATAGCCCCCAAAATCTCATCTAGTCCCCTCTAACTCTTTCAGCTTCCCTTGAAAAATGACAAATCACAAAAGACCTTTGTTGAATTTTTAATCTAGTTCGTGATTATGCAATTTGTTTTTTATTTTCCTGGTCGTTTTTGTAATAATTGATCGAAAAACCGAAAAATAATGAAAAATGTTCAATAAAAAATCGTTCAATATCAATTTTAATTTATTATGTGTAATATATACCACTGAGGCTTCTTCGAACTATCGAAATTATTGATCACTCTGTATTCAATTTAATAGTTTAAATACTTATCGTTTCATCAAGTTCGTGGTTTCTAGTAAATGACTAATTGAATAATGACTTGGTCGCTTCAATACACCTTTTGAATATTTTTTACTCATATTGGATTTTAATTCCATTTTTTGTACTTCACTAAAAAATCTCGGTAATTGCTTGTTCAAGATTTGTTGAGTACCTGATCTTTTTGCTTCTATTTTTTTTAAATGTTTTTGATTATCCAATTTGTGTAAATTTTGAGCTTCGATAAGAGCCATTGATTCCTGTTCATTCATTTTAACCAGCCCTAGATTCATTGTTATCCAATCACTTTCCAAAATATTATTGATAACCCAACGTTTCCTTGGTTCTGGTTGTAAAATATTATCCACACATGTTTTTAAATTTTCGCTAATCAAATTTCCAATAGAAGGATGATGACACCATTCTCGTTTAACCTTCAATAATAAAATGATAATATACATATACATTTAATTTATGTGTTACTATTATATGGATACTTGTTGTTGATACATTCGCTTAGTATCGTTTTTACTAAAAGGCATTTTCGCGTAAATCATAATATATAACACCACTCCAAGTGACCATATGTCAGAAGACTTGCCATCGTATGGACGTAAACTCAATACTTCTGGTGGTGCATACCACACTGAACAACAATGTGTATTACAATTTAATCTTTGAGCTCTTTTAATGAACTTTGAAAAGCTAAAATCCGATAATTTCACTGTAAAATTCTTTGTGATGAGAATATTTTCACATTTTATATCGCGATGTACAATATCCACAGTATGCAAATATTGCACAGCTAATGCCACTTGTCTGAACCATATTCTAGCTTGATCCTCTTTTATTGGGCCGTTGGTGGTTATATAGTCAAAAAGATCACCTTATAAGTAAAAAACCAATATGCATTATTTTTATAAATTCTATAGTTTAACAAGCTTTTTAATCAAAATTACAATTTTTAACAATAATTAATATTTTAAGAATCTAAAATATATCAACTGTATAACTGTTTTATTCTTAAGTATGTATATGATAATATTAATACAGTGTCTTAATATAGAGTCTTTAAAACAGATTTTAAATGTTCTACCTTTTTCTGCATATGTCATAAAAACAAATAAAATCGCCTTCTTTTGTAAAATACTATGCGTATGTACTATGTACGGGTGATTAATTTTGCGTATTACATCAAGTTCACGAGGTAAAAACTTAGAAACGTATTCTTTAGATGAAAGATTTGTGTCAATAATTTTCACCACTAAATTTAACTCCTTATCATCTTGAATATATTTAGCATGATGTACTTCACCATAACCTCCAGTCGATATGTGATCTAGTATAATGTATCCTTCGGATTTTAAAGTATTTGTTTTTGATAATTGTGTACCGACTTTATGATCTTTTTTATGAAAGAACAGCATTATATTAGGTGTAGGTATCTATTTAATATTTATACACAATCGATGGTAACTATGGGGGGTATTATATAAAAATTACGTAGCTATGTATCTAATAATGTGATTTATATAATATATTTGATTACTTGAACGTAGCCATGATTGTAACTATGGGTTGAGCCAGCGGTGGATTCTAAATATTAACCGGCCCGGGAAAATTTCGTTTCACCGGCCCAATTATTTGTTTCATAAATCTGTAGACACGTAGAAGACTGCAGATATGTTGTACAAATGCAGTAAAAGAGTAAAATTTAAAAGTAAAATTTATTTTTTCATATTAAATAAATAATAATCAACAATATTTTCGGTATTAATGTTTTCATTTCGATGAATATTTAAAAGTAATAAGCCAGCTAGCGTCTGCTCAATTTTTTTTTTTAACACAAAGTACGACTTTTAATGAACCTCGTGTTAAATTTTCAAGCTTTTCTGTTTGGTCTAATAATTTTATCAACTGAATAAAAATTACATAGAAAACTCGAAAAATTAAAATTTCTATAAATTGTTCAAAAATGTTACCACGTCAAGAAAAATCAAATATAAATTTTCTGTCCGAATTTCAAATCTACAAATAAATATGAATATTTTTAGCTGAATAACAACAAAAAACAAAATTGAAAATAATAAAAGTGATTATTTTCATAAATTTTCTCATTTTTCTTAAGTGTTATCCTGGGTTTTTTTAATATTATGAAAACTGAAAACTACTTGGAAAACGAAAAAAATAACCTTCATAAAGTACCACCTAGTCAATATAATATTTTCTTTCAAAAGAGATGCTACACTTACATATTGAAGCATGATTTCTGATAAAAAATTTTGTCACAGTAAAAAGATAAAACATAAATCCAATAGGTACATTCTTTACTACACTCAGAATATAAAATTAATCATTTTCAATTTTGATTCTAAAATAACCTATATTATTTTATTAGATTACCATAGATTTAGAATATATACATTTTATTTTGTATTTTTCGAATACATTTGTTTTTATACTATAAGTCATTTTTTATAACTTGTATATATTATAGTCCATTTGAAAATCAAAAATAGGTAGTAATTTTACCCCTTAAAATAAGTGTAAAAAAAATAACATAAATGTAAAACTGTAGTACTGCTTGTTTCTTAAATGTTCTATAAAACAAATTCCTAAAAACATTAGTACTTTGTGAGATAATGAGTGTCTTGCGATAGATTTATCACTCTGTATACATTATTAAAACTGTACAGTAAAACATTTTGTATAAGTTATTCATTTTTTCTTCGCTGATTTACATAAATAACTAAGGTCCGATTTTACTAATAACACATTAATCGCATTTAAAATAATCAAGGTTAAAAGTAAATCATGATTTATCAACATTTGGATTTTACCACGCTGATCACGGTCCCACTAATTATAGTTTACAGTACCCCTGATTAGCCTAACTAATCGTGATTAACGTCATTATCGAGATAGCTGTGGTGTGTTAATATGACAACATCGTGCGTTTGGTTTTGATATTTATTTTTAGTGGTTTTCTGAAATTCTATAAGATAGACACAGATTCGTTTTCTTTCTTCCTACGACAGAAACTTAAAAAGAAAGAGAGAAACAAATGTCAAGTACTCCGAGAAGTCACTAAATCAGTACTTTCGAAGATAGTAACTCGACATTATAATGTGATTGAATCAAAAAGCTCTCATCCATGTTCATCGTGAACAAAGAATAGCGTAAACGATGCACTCGATTTGTCATCGTTGTTTTCAAATCTGCTAACCGTGTTTAACATATTTAGTTAAATCGGCCTTAAGTGTAGATAGTTTAAAAACCGTATAGTTTCTTAATTATTAATCTAAAAAAAACATTTTCAGAATTTCGCGAATGTTTGATTAATATTAAAAAGACTTTCGTTGTCAGTGACTATGTACTAAGAAGAACAAAATCGGTATTTTGTCATTTTCCGATTGGAGCAATATTTCTGATAGAAAACAGAAACCATACAAATTTAAAATAAAGGAATTGTGACGCCATAAATTTATCAGTATTCAATTTTTTTTTTTTTTTTTGGTTTTCCCCAATTATTATAAAAACTATTTGGAAAAATCAAAAAACGACATTTCTCGTGATCAACTAGGTTTAAAATTCAACGAAAAAGGTCTCTTATCCTTATCCTATGGTAGCAATATTTCTGGTAGAAAACAAGTTACAAAAATGTAAAATCATGAAATCGTTAAACCGTAAATATTTTTCCGTTTTTCTCTACGTTTTCCCTACATTTTATCCCGATATTCCTAATTATTATGAAAACCGCTTGGAATATAAAAAAATTACCTTTTTTAAGTACTAACTATACATGTTTTCCTTTCGGAAACGGTACTACACTTGATAGATTTTTGCAAAATTTCGATCAGAATTTATAAATTTTCTATATTTTATTTATAGTAAATACGAGTATATAGTTCGGAATCGTAAAAATAAATTTACATTAGAATTAAACTGTAAAAAGTTGATTTAATACGATGAGAACCTAACCTATTCTAAACTGGTAAAATCATAATTATTAGCTGACGACAAAAAAAAAACTATAACTAATGAAACTAAATAATTTAAAAATACATTTATTTATCATCTAGTAAAATTAAAATTTTAAAACCTGCCTAACATAAACTAAAAAAATTACTTTTTAACTAATTAATCAGCAGGAAATTAATTTACAGACTCGAAATTTTTCGAATTTTCAGGATTATATTTTTACCTCTTATGTATACTAGTAAAATTGTTTAATGCACGATAAGATTTTTTTTTTATAACTGGCTGTCCCCTCTTCATTGCCCATGTCACGTCAACCATCATACCAATGTCGGTTACATATTTTAGGTCTTCGGGTATAATTCATTACTTATTATAATAATACGATGGGATACCTATGGCATTGGCCGCTTTGTATTGTGTATTAAGATCCGCGTTCGCAGTTTGTCGGCCGCACGAGACGGGCCGTCCTCGATCGATTCATTGCGTCTCTTTCGTGCAGCGACAATTTCCATAATCCGTAATAATACGTACCCAGGTAGCGAGCTCTCGTTTTAACACGTCCCGGGATCCGTTTGTACGTAATTTTTTTTCGGTTTCTTAGGTAAGGTCATTTATTATACTGATTACCATGATCGCGATTCAAGATTTCAATTAACTGCATATTAGCTGCCATACAAACACGAATATATACACCAGTTGCTGTTACATGCGATATTCGATATCAAAAAAAAAAAAAAAGAGTGCAAACCCTAATAATTTTTAGCATCTATACAAGTATACAATTAATATACTGAGTATTTCAATTTATCCTTCGCCTGGCTTTAAATCTTACGAAACATTGACTTGATTATTGATAATATTATAAAGAATATCAATTCCATCGTTCCATTCACATTTGTTGGTTGTTTATTATTTATCGTATTTGTATGCGTCGAGGAGATCGAATTTACAATCATATGTTTAATATATTGACGAGAAACATCGAAATACGTCAATTTTATAATCCAAATTCATCGTCAATCTATAATGATGACCAGAGCTCGGATTTTATAGCACCGAAAACAACTGAAATTTGCGCTATAGTATTTTCTAAAAATACTATAATAAGCTATGGGTATGCCATAAAAACATGAAAAATGGTTAGAAAGAAAATGTTTTAATTTTTGTATTTATACATCTAAAAAAAAATTTTAAATATATAAATACAACCGAAAGAAATCATAAATGTAAACTGTTCAATAAGTAGGGCTACTTAAAAATAAATTATAATATGAGATTGGAATATAGTTTTTTTTCTCACAGATTCGCATAAATGAAATATTTTTCTACTTTTTATGAAAAATACAAAACAGATCATTATATTATGCGTATGGGCAAAAAAGCACAACAAATTTAAAAAAAAAAAAAACACTAAAAATCTAAAATTCTTCAAATATGAAAAAAATAGCAATATTAAATTTTATACTTCGAGTTCCTGGAGCGAAAAAAAAAATGTAAAGCTCACTCGACTATTTTTTATCTGTATCCTATAATAGTTAACAAATGCTATAAAATCCGAGCCCTTATGATGAACACACGTTAAACCCATGTGGTTACACGTTTCACTCGTATAGTCGTATTTGACGTGTTTCCCGACCTCGTCGTTTAGTAATATATTATTTTGACCGCCGTTAAAGGCGGTACAAGTAGGCATTAAACGTTGTATTTGTACCTATATGGTCGTTAAGTCAATAATAAAATATGGAGTAAAACTAATAATAAGATACACAAATAATAGTATTTACACTCGTACAATTTGAAACGCGTATACCTATGTATTATTATTGTTATGAATACGATTCCTAGAGGTTTTATAAAGCGCGTATTTACTATCGGTATTAAGATTTCATCGTCGCGCGTCGCCAAGTCCCCTGCGGAGAAAACGCGTTCGTCAACGGTCAATTACGATACGCTACTTTGAAGTCTTTAAATTTGTATGCACCAGAGACGACTCTGAATCTGCGCGTACTAATTTATGTACCTTTATTCAGGTTAGCCTGATAATACAAAATGAAATTGACTATTCGGCCTTAAAGGGATTGGTCGACATTTTAGTCGATTTAGACCTAAACGCCAGTCTGTAGGAATTACAATGTTCGACGGATTTCGATTTTGAAAATGGATAATGTTTCTGTAGGTTGTCTACTAGGATATGTTGGAAATAGAATTGTAATTATTTGAAATACCTACTGACTAGTATGAAAATGCTGACTTCTACAAAGCACCAAATAGATCTAAATTTTTTTTTTTTGGAGCAAGATTTTTGGCAGAAATGTTTATTAAGACATAAAAAAAAAAAAAAAGTTCACTACTAAAACATTCCTAGCAGTGGTCGAAATATCCAGTTTTCAAATTTTACAAAATTAGAGGATATTTTAAAAACCGTCACTAAGCGACTTACGTAGTAAAATATAGATATAAATTTCCCTGCCTGAATTCGGTTTCCATTCCATTTATTTCCACCCCTGCTGAAAAGTTAAATCCAAATCACCATTTCTAAAACGAAACGAAGAAAGAACAACAAAAAATTAGGGAGCTCAGGGAAAAGTTCCTATATTTTTAGTCACTAAACAACTGAGCTATAGCACAATAGTAAGAACGCCGTGGCACTGGTATTGTTCAAAACCCAAAACTCGCCTTGACAAGACATTACGTTATTACGCGGATATTATTAAGATTACGGGCAAGACTCTCGGGCCCATAGCGACGATTTTCTTTACGAACCGACGCGTGATGCGTTTAAAACTTGTCGCGAAAATACCGGTTTTCCGGTTTTTCCCAAGTATTACGAAAACTGTTAGAAAAACCGAAAAATAACATTCTTCGTATGCGTCTAGGTTCCAAAATGCAATGAAAAATATTTGGAAGCGTTTCTTGATTAAATGACATTTTTAGTAGAAAATATAGTTTAAAAAAAAAAAATAAAACAATGAAATCGGTAACTTCGTGACGTGCCGTAAATATTTGCCGTTTTGCCTGAACATTTTTTTCCGATTTTTTCAGATTATTCCCAAGAAATTTTCGGAAAATCCGAAAATTGACGTCTCTAGTGTACCGACTAGATAAAATTTCCTTTCAGAAAAGGTGCAAAGGATTATTCTTTGTCACCGTTATATTTTTGGAGGTAAGGTTGTAAACGGTTGTACGTAATTTTGATTTTCAAAACTATTGGCATCGTGTCGGTAAGCGCAAAAATATCAATGTCTTTTTTGGCCTGCAGTAATATTGTTATTATTTTTTTTTTTTTTTTTTTTTTTTTTGTGCCCGCGACTAAAAATGGAAAATCTCGGCGCAAAGGACGCGCCTAATTATTTATTTTCGGTAATGTCGTCGCGTTGAAATATTAGTGTTCCTATAAATAATAATGTGTATAAAACAATATCGCGCGTCGGCCCACGAAATTATTATAATATCGTCCGGGCATTTCCTAGACATTCGAAATCACCACTATACAGCGTATACCTATACCATTCCGTCGTCTTTCACTTTTGTGGCACGTATGGTATATTTTATTTTACTCTTTTTTTTTTTTTTTTTTTTTTTATCGAAATTCGAAAGCATTAAATAAATAAATAATAACAGCGGTCGTCATTTTTCGACTGAAAAATGGTAAGCGACTAGAACTAAATATAGAAATCATTTTACAAAACTGTCGCGGACGACAGTACCGTTTGTAATCGTGACGAATTGACTTTGCCACTGCAGCGGCGCGCGTTGTAGCGTACCTACAGTACGCGTACGCCGTACACCACGTAATATTTATTTATTTATTCACTTAAAAAATAAACGTTATTATGAACATCTAACACCGCAATGGAATATTAGGCGTGCTTTGGCGGTGTTAACAACGGTATCGCGTCCAAATGTTAAGGCTGCAACATTCCGGCCAATGGACTTTTTTAGATCCGACCGGATCGTCAAAACATTGATTTGTAAACTCGGTCGCTGAATTATCTAAAAACACTATTGCATTACCGAGCAAAATAATATAATTCAAACACCGAATCGCATTATAGTACTATTAAAATATTATTATTTACGCCTTATTCGTTATTAGTAAATGAACAATGACTATAATAACTGTTGTTAAGTACATATTAATTATGACGGACGTAATAGAATCTGATAATCATATTAATAACGACGTGACGGTCATTATGAAGCCTATATTATGACATCTGAAAAATTTAATTGTATCAAGTTCAATAATTCGAAACGAGCATTTTCACCGGAAAGCTAATGTCAAAGAATGAATCTTAACGTACATCTAGTGCGTAAATGATGATATCCAAGTTGGGCGTAAATAACTACCGCGTATTACCCGGGACATTTTTATTTGATTTTCTACGACAAGGTTTACCAGAACTTTAACAACATCATTTTATTGTCAGGATTTTTTGTTATCCTGTATTTTTTTTTTTTGTATCCTGCGAGCTTCAGCCTCCCTGATCCTTTCATCCTGCTCCTTGTAACAGAGGATGTCCACCGCCATTGAGAAAGTCTGTGTGCCGTGGATTGAAGCAAATTACCCAGTGTACATAATGAATTCTTTAAAATCGTTGCATTTTATTACAGAGAACTCCACTCCACCTTCAATCTATAACCACAACGGAAAACTATTTAAAAAACCAACGGCATGTAAAATAACATGTCTAATTTTTTGAGGAAAAATATGCAGTTTTACATTAATATATTATAATATGTACGTTTAATTATAATACGATGTATTTACAATGAATTATATTATAGTTTCAGAGTTTTTCGTGTTGATTTTTTTTTTTTTTTTTACTATCGATTTTAACACAATTCTCGTAATATAATAGGTATACATTTCATTACATTATAGTATTTTTCCTCTATACCTTAATAATTTAAATAAATCGCATTCGGTTCATAATGATATTATTCATTCACAAATATGTATTATTCCGGCGAAGAGAATGGCCTACGGCAGAAAAAAAGCGGAAGATCACACTATTCGTGTGAAGTAATTTTGCCGTGACCTAACCGAGGTAATACCGAGAAATATGGTATTTTATAACATAATTAGTATACTTTGATTCAATATATTTTTACAGCGCAATATCGTTACCAGATTCAAACATTACGATATCAACAAAATAAAAAATAATAAATTATTCGACTGACAATTGTATTCGTTTACGTTTTAATCCCGTGTTGACAATTTTACCGAATCGCGCGTATTAATAAGTAACTGCAACGAACCGCGTTTCATTTAATGACAATCTATTTTTTTTTCTCATGAAGACCATCACACACGAACTCATTCGCGTAAAAAAGTACTGGACGATAAGAGAACTCCTGTTCGAACGTTCCGACTCGGGCACACTGCTTGACCACGGTACTCAATTCGTTCCCGGTTTAGAATACTCGTAATATTATCATCGTGTTTCGTCTTCGTTCATTTTTTCTTAATATAATATTATGTTATCGGTTTACGGAAGGTTTTCACTTTTCTATGCCCAGAGGTGCTGGACAAGCACCTGGCGGACCGGTGTAAATGTCCGAACGGAATTTCCGTCGACCCGCTTTGCGGTACAGCTGGCCGCTATGTGTCGGAAAGGTACTCGCACGTAATTTTTCATTCCTAATATTGTTCAATTTGTATATTTGTCCGTTTTTATTCCCACTTTTCACCGCGAGTGGGTCACTGCTGTAGAAGAGAAACTTAGGAAATAGTATACAATGTGTTTCGGGGGGAAGTAACCGGCCGGCGTCATATGAAAGTTAAAATTTCACAAAAAAATGTGGACAAACCCCAATTAAAGAGGGTGCCAAATATTTTTATTTTTAAGGTGTGGTCAATTTTTACTGCGTATCTTAAAAACTTTTCAACTTATTAACGTAGTTTTTTTTTTTATTATTTTATAGCTCTTTTGTTTATCAACCAACATACACAATTAAACCAGAAATGTACAAATTATTTTTAATTGTTTGGAAAAATTTGTATTTTTAAAAAAAAATCAAGTAAAAATATTAGCCTCCGCCCCTTTAAACAGAGTTTCTCCATCGTTTTTGGTGTTCTTTCATAATATGACGCTGGCCGGTCACTTCCCCCCGGAACAAATTGCATAGAGGGGAATTTAATTTATGTCTATACGCGACAATTAATCATTGATAACGAAAAACGGTTCTAAGCGAAGCTCAGTCAATACTCGATAGTATTGCTTTTTTCAACGATGTGCGTTTTCACGAAAACAATGATTGATTAAAAAAGATTAAAAGATTAAAAAATAAAAACTCAATAACAATAAAAAATAAAAACGATTGCTAATGACAAATTTATTTTTAATCTGGTAGTCTTTTTTAACCGAAAGAACCCGCTTTTCCTCATAATCTCGAATATTAATGAGAATTTCAAAAAATGACCTTTTTAAGGTACCGACTAGCGCCGAAATTCAACAAAAAATGTCTGTTGTCATGATTTCTAGGATAAATTACGTACACAGTTAAAAAAAAAAAAAAATCAATAAATAATTTAGAGTTTAAACTAATTGTAATTAGCCTTTGTAATTAAAACCTTAATATTAAATTTAAAAAGAAAAAAATGTAAACAAAATCAGCAGCTGCGGTGGCGTAGAACTGACAGAAATTTTTCGACATTTTTCCGATTACTCGACGTTATTTCAATTATTGTTTCGAGAAACTGCGGTGACATAATTAATCATATCGAAGTCTTTAAAAACGGTCAAGTATAATAATCTATTACTGGGTTAGGTCAGGCCAGTGCAAATTGTATACACATTGTATTTTTGAAGCTATATAACATTCGGCCTCGGGTTAGACGACGGCGATGACTCATAGTAACCAAAATACACATCGTATTATATTATTATAACAAAGGTGTATATTATTATTACAAGTATTATACGATTATTGAAATTTAATTATATATTAACGTCTAAATTATACAATGATATTTGTTATTATTATCACGGATAAAACAATACGAACACTGATAACAGTGTATAAACAAATATTTCAGTATTCAAATTTATCAAATTAAATGATATTAACAATACTATGAGCCACCCGTAATTCAGTGGCGCTCGCCAGGGGGGTCTAGGGTGTCAACCGACACCACTCAGCAAATCGGTAGGTGGGTGGGTTCCTGGTGCCAGGTGAGTGTTCAGATGTTATTTTTATGCATATTTGTGTAATATTAATAGCGATGATTTGTAATTGAATTTTATTACGCCTAAACTAATATTTCACTGGTTGAGTGGGTGGGTAACTACAAACTAGGTATTTATATTTTCGACACGCTTGTGAAAAATGTACTGTGCGCTACTGCCGTAATCTATATTATCATAATAATGTAGAACGAGACACACATAAATACAATTTTAATTTGGATATAATGTGTATAATTAGTATTTTTTTTTTTTACAGTAGGGACCGACGTAACTAATGCATTATCATATTAAATATTATAATATCCCAGCAAATATTAATAAATTGTTCCGTGCCTATCATAATATTTATTAATAATATTAATAATATTAATATCAATTAAGTAAATCGTAGACATGGCGACAACGAAAATAATATTCTTTGAAAAAATTCTCCACAGGTAATAAACGACTTGTAAGTTGTAATATTACTAGCTGTCCCGTCCGGCGTTATTCTGCCACTTTTTCGTTGTATCGAATTTGATGTTTTACAATAAAAATCAATAGGATACGATAGTAGCCGTATTACCCGCGGCTTTGTCCACGACTTCGCACGTGTGCAGTTTACATACCTGTACAGTTTAGCGCAGTGGCGTAATTAGGATTTTGACAAAGAAGGAGACATTGAATTTTGAAATATATCGTTTATATGGATTGTATAATGTGTACCTAGGGTAAAACAAAAGAAGATTCAATTTTAGATTTATGTTTCATATTTTGTAAGTATTTTTTAATTCAATTTGCCCGAACATTAACATTGAAATATTATGGAAATTATTATTATTCGTTTAGTTATACAATTTTAAGAATGGAGAGAAAAATTTTTTTTTATATTAAAATGGTTCGGATAGGTTTCATTTTTAATAAGGAAATTTACCGATAGTAAAAAAAAAAAATGGCCAGAATGTTTTGATTTTACTTTGTCAAGAAAATATTAATATAAGTTCTCTGTGGTAATTTTAAGTCTCTAACATTGTATTTATTTCGTATATGGTACACTTTATGCTGCAAAAGTTATTCGGAAAGAAACTTATTTAAACTTATCTTAATTTAATGACAGTGAAACTTGAACGATGGGAAATATGAACGTGAACGGTTAAAGCCAATGGAGATGTGGTTAAAGTGGCTGATGACGAAGACGAGGTAGATAGAAAAGTAAACAAATGAAGGTCCAGGGGTGGATCCAGGGGGGGCAAAGGGATTTTTCGCTCGCTCCCCCAAATACCGTAGTGCAGTAAGCTCCGGAGTACTCAGATGTTTTGTTTAATAAGGTCTTTTAATTTACTATTTTTAGCATTATATTTGCACTTTTACCCTCCCCCTCAAAATTAAGTTCTTTATCCCTGAATGAAGCAATCCTAAAAAAAGTCAGAGAAAAAAAGTACCTACATGACTCAATAACGAAAAAGTGAATTTAGCTATTGATTTTTTGAGACATAATGATTTCGTTACCAACATCGTTGCAGGAAGAATACAAGGAAGGAGACCACAAGGCAGATCCATCCTCGATTTTTATAATATCAAGCAACATACACCCTCACCCAAAATTTGTTCCGCCAACTTTTATAATTGATGTATTATAATATGTAATATGTATACATTTATATGTAATATGTATACATTTATATGTAATATGTATATTATATTTATATTTTATAAATCATTTTTGAGTACCTTCCTTAAAACGAAAGACAGAGAAATTTGGCTGCGATGACAAGGTACTTATCGATATATCGGTTTTTATCTATTCTAATTAAATCCTACTATTTAATATTATTTATTATTATTTAATGTTATTATGTAGGTCAATTATATTTACAACCCTATTAATTATCTTTGAAATTCGCCGTTGCGAAAAGGAGATGGAGACGAGCAAAATTAATAAAATAATTTATTAATATTAATAGGGTTTATTTTGATAACCGTGGTTATTAGAGGTAATCATCAATGATAATACTTAGCCTAGGTAATAATATTTATAATATGGCGGTCAAAAATTCGAACTAATCGTGTATAAGACATAACCGCCATCTACCAGTGTTTTATAAACATGAACTCTAGAATATTCTAGAAACAACAGGTAGCGTTGTACCAATATAAATATCCAAACATATGGTTTGATAACATAATATTTTTCGTGATACAGTCTATTGAAAATTAATACGAAATTAGTCTCATATTACCAAATTTTTTGAAGATTTATAAACCTCTCCTCCCAGCTACTTGAAGTAAATATTCATCTTTTTAATAATGGCACACCCGAGTTACAGACTCTTAAGAAAAATCGAAAATGCCTCCTCCATAATACAGCCAACAGGTAAGTTTCCGTACGAGCTGCTACCTATTTGAGACACAATTTTAATGTCTAATGGACATTGTAACACCCGGCAGACCTGGAATGGGGATGGGATCCCATGGAAGCAACGACTGACGTGAATATAGCTGGAGACTCGTTCGACATTGTGTTACATCCAAACTCCAGTCGAGGAACGGGAGCGGTAAGAGGTGATACTCCTTTCGTACCCGGTCAAATCTACTATTGGGAAATTGAAGTGAACGGTTCTCATACAGCTACCGACATGGTAATACATTATCAACAATTTTAGTTTTGTTAGATACCTAGTGGGTAATTTCTGCTGAATATTTTGTATTAGTATAGTACGTTGACTCAAAAACATTATTTATGAACTTGTAGATAGTTGGGGTTGGCACAAATGATTTTGATTTGAAAAGTTCTGAAGACGAGTATTGTAGTTTAATAGGATCAGATAAAAAATCTTGGGGATATTCATACATGGGTAAGTTAAAATATTTTTTATTTATTTTATGGATTTAAAATGGGTGTTATTATAATACGCTTTATTTGTATATATTATAGGTGTCAAACATCACAATGGAGAACGATCGGCATATGGACTTAAGTTTGACAAAAGTAAACCATTAATAGGTGTACGATTGGATATGTGGAGAGGAACATTGGAATTCTTCCACAACCGTAATCCATTAGGTATGCGTTAAATATAATTAAGAGTGATACGGTAACTGTGCTAAATAAAACAAAATAATTTATTTTACATAATATTCATCAGGTGTAGCTTTTAGAAAACTCAATAAAGAACATCTCCTATATCCCATGGTGTGTTCTACTGCATGCCGAACTCAATTCAAAGTCAAATACTGCCGTTCATTGCCTGTTAATCTACAACTTCTGTGTTTACAAGTACTAGACTCTTGTAATGATTCCTTAATACCTCCTGGACTTTTGAAAAACATTTCGGAATCTTGGTGGATTCAAAAATTTTGTTCGTCATAAACAAAAATTAAGAGATCAGTTTATCAGTAGTGTATTCTGTAGGGGTGTATGGGAATTATCCATGGCTTTTATTTTCACCGGTCTAGTTTCTCAAAGAAAAAATAGATTTTTAGTTTTCATTATTTATCTAGAAGAGATCTATACTTTAACTATGTTTTCAATTAAGTATTATGAATAAACAAAACAAATGGAATATTTATCTGTTTCTAATTTAAAAATAAATTATGCAGTTTTTTTATGTACAAGGGTTTTTGTTTAATAGGGGCAATGGTAAAATAATTACCTATTCAATTTCCAAAATAAACTAACAATGATAGTTTAGGTTAACAAAACAACATACCATTGATAAAGCAGAATAATAAAACAGTCTTCATAATATATATGTTTTTTTTTTAAATTTACCTGGTGTGTTGTTACCCTCCCCCCTCCCATTTAAAATTTCCACACACCCTACTAACGGACTTTGTAAAACTGGTCTTATATTTTTTCATGACTTTTACCTAAAATGCATTTTCCTGATATTTTAGTTATATTTATAATATTGTATTAATGTTTAATATTTAAACTATTACTTTTATACTAGCCTTAATTTGCTGAATGTTTTTAATTTTATTTCTGTTATATTGTACTCTTAATTGTTACAATAAAAATATGTATATGCTATATTAAAACATTAGTTTGTAATGTATAGAACATAGTCTACTCTACCTTAAAGTAATGTACAATTAATTCAAATCTGTAAACATATTTTATAAAACATTGTAGACATTTAACTTTTTTCAAAGTTAATATTACCTAACCTAACCTTAATACAGTTAACTCGCAATGTAACGTTTACACTTGTAAAATATTGAATATTTTAGTTGTTTATATATTTGTAATATTATTTATTATATCTAAACTTAATATAATCATATATATGTTTATATAAGTAATATAATTGTATTCGTATATATTCAACGGGTTTCGTCCTATGGGTAAAACAGTAATTACAACATTGAAATAATAGTAACAATTAAAAAAAATAAAATAGAATCAATAGCATATCATTTGAATAGAATGCAATATATACTTTTCAAAATGATAACATTCAGAAATTTGTAATTCAGTTGAAAATAGGATTGTATTTGTCAACTATTGTCAAATTGCACACATCAAGATACATACATAGTGTTTTAACTATTTAAGAGTACCAAAAATATGAATATGATTTTTGTTTATTTTCACAACGGCCAATTTAAAAATATTAAATACATACCAAATTTTTTTTTTTTAAGAAAAATGTACCTGTGTAATGACTTGTTTTATTGTATTATTGTACTATACATTTTATGTATCATAATATAATAAACAAATATAAATTATATATTATGCAAATTTAGTTTTATTTTATCAAGTAAAATTGACTACTTATCTCAAGTATAATGAATACAATAATAACATTTCTTTATTGGGCCCATATAATTCTAAAAACGCAACTGAAACAAGACGCGCTAGTTGGCATTTCCATATAATTACCCTTTTAAAGTTTTATATAATAAATTTGTAAACCTATTAGATATGGATATATTAATCTAGTCTGCAGTTATTTTTATGTGAAACGGTGTGTTTTTTCTTTTATTTGTGGAGTGAAAGGATAAAATAATATTAATAACTCAACAAAATACTTTGTGTTTATCTCATGGAGGGGTGAGGAGAGTGGTCATCAAGTTTTAATGATTTAAAGAGTATACTATTGAAAATCGCATTTTAAGATGTTTGAACAACGGATACTTAGAAAGAAAGGTGTGCATTTTTTATCAACTACTTATATTATTTACTTACATCTATCTACTTGATTGAAACTAATTGAAAGTCGATTTCTGATCAACATTTATCAGACCAATAATGGTACAAAATATCAAAGTTATAATAAAGCAAAATAAACTGATCAATGTACTAGCCACTATGTGCGTACATTTATTACCATGTCTATGGTTCCATTTACTACTAAAACCCAAGTTCAATAAACTCGGATTTTTTTTTATTGCATTTCGCAAATAATCATTATCGAATCGAATTGAGTGTATTCAGTGAGAAAAAATTACATAAATACCTAGATACCTACATTCCTATCTATTATAAATACCTATCAGTGTAACGTAAAATATTGGTATTTTCTACTTATTAGTAGTGCGTTGTTTTATATTTGAGTAAATTACCAAAAATTTGATATTGGATACATTATATAGTTTTCCAATCTTTCCAATGAAGGCGGTAAATATAATTATTATTTTCCGTAATTAGGTAACAAAATAATAAAAACCACCATCGCTGTTCCTCTCAAATAGAATTTGATTGAAAATCATTTGGTGTTTCGATGGATATTGATATTTACAGTGTTTAACATACTAGATTGTTAGTGAGAATAGTGTACATAACAACAACAATAATAATAATAATAGTAGTAATTTTTTTTTTTTTTGTCCGTGAGAACCGAACTGTCGTCCGTGTCACTGCGATAACCCGCGGATAAACAAAAACAAACAAATGAACAATTAGATATTGGGTAGGTACCTGCAATACGTGGGTCCGTTTCAATCCTTGAAAACCGAAATTGTCCGGAATACATTCTCGTGTAAGCACGCGTAGGGTACGGACACAAACGTACCCTGAGAACGTTTCAAGTCGCTAGCCACTCGTCGCGGGTTTAGGCTGTGCGTCGACTGCGAATCAGTGAGCCGGGGGACTTGTTCTCTTGCGCGGCCTGCACACGGTTATACAGACGGGCGGGTATACTCGGATAATAACGTAGGAAATACAACTATCGGCCATTCGTTTGGGTTACTCGCGTTACGGACTGCCACGTTAATCGCACGGTTTTTAACCGAATGCTATCTGTCTCGTTTTGTTATCCACAACGCGACTGCGGACCGCGGCGTTTATCGGCGTTTCTTGAACAAGTGCCTCTGCACGGCGGATTGCGTTGAATGATGTCGGACGAATAGTATCGGGCGACTTCGCCGCGCAGTGTGGTTTGCAACCGCGTCGCCGTCGTTTTTGTCGCGACCGTTTCAAATACGTTTTTTCGGTGCGTGTACAGGTTGGCGGTACTCTATTGGGTAAGTGTTATTTAAAACAAACAGACCTCGGAACGTACGCGTTCTTCGCCCGTGCAGAGTTTTCAAAATGGATGAACGAACTGTGTATAAATCAAGTTCGTATTTCGTTTGAATCGACTCTTTTTATAAATTAATTTCACACGTTCAGCGTACTTGGAATTCAATTGTTTGGATTCCAATTTTTACGTCGGACGTTTAGAAAAACTGTTTAAGCAATTTCGTTGTCGACTTAACCATCACAGTTCAAATATTCCAAGCACCCACCTAGATTGCTATATTAATATTGCAATTATTATGGCGAATTTTATACTCTCGGGATTATTTCAACAATAGGCGCAGATCTACTACGGTATTTTTTAAATCCACTATGACTACGTAATGTTAGTAAAAATTAAATTTTAATGAACTTAATTAGTTGGTTCACAAATTATAAACTTATTTTATAAATTATATTACGCCATTTTTTTTTCCCCCGTAAACAACTTTTCTACCGGCAATTTTGCTCCGATTTATAACGATAACAATGTTTCTAAAAGGAAATTTGACCGGGAAGGTATTATGAGGAGGTCCTTTTTAGATTTTCCCGAGAGTTTTCCCAGCTAATGTGAAAAACTTAGATAAACATGGGAAAAACTGGGGATATCGGTACAACGTCAAACAAATATTATTAAAGAAAATATAGTGAGTTTATTTAATTATTTTATTATAATATGACGTATATATATATATGTATTGTTGACAAAGCATCACTATCAACTGAACTCCGCTAAGAAACGTTTTTTTCATAAGCAATGGCTTACCGTTGCTTACAGGTAAACATAAAAGTTATTTTATAACAGTGGCTGCGCCCGTCCCCATTATCCTGGGACGTCTTTTTATAGTTGTAAGTCACTATGTTGGAGGATGGTTGTTGTATCATGTCGTATTTGATCGTTCATTGCAAATACTAAATATTTAATGACTAATATTATGCTTCGGAACTTAGTTCAGTTTTTTGTTGATGAACTTGGTTTATGTAAATTTTATGCTTAAGAATTATGATCTAGTTCGTGTTTTGGTACGTTCCAAGGTATGAAAATAATCCTGGTCATGTTAATATTAACGATGTTGAATTGCCAATTTACAACTATTATAATAATTATAATGCAAGTATTAGATAATAATATATACCTACTATATAGTTAGTATATTATATAGGTGTTAGATATGGGTATCTAAAATTAGATTTTGATCGAGTCGATCAAAATTCATTATAATAACACATATTTAAATTTAAATTTACTCATTATAGGTAATGTATCCATTTAGGTAATCGTTTTCGGGAAATTATTTTGAAGTTTATAAAAGCTATAGTCCCCCCCCCCTGCCTCAAACTTAGTACCATTATTTATTTTGTCCATGAAGGAACCTACCTAGTTATTATAACAGTATTCATTGACCATAAAACTATAGTAAAGTAAAAAAAAAAAAAAAAAAACCATAGGTAAGGTACCTATTTCGTTTTACTGACTTCGCCTCTTTCGAATAGTTTTTAACACCGAGAAGTGTAATATACTAAATTGTATTAAATTGGACCTTGCATAGGTATCTAGCAAAGTATCTACTCTGGAAAAATGGACATTACCGTTATAATATACCTGTCTGCATTAAACGCATAAAAATATATTTAGCTATGTATAGGTGCATAATTATTTTAACCAACCTTCGTACGTAACATACTTCTCTCGCACATCGGCATACTCGGACGGTTTAGAGTAGACGACACCACCGAATTCGTAACATTTATTTATATTCATTTTATTTTTAAACGTTTTTTTTTTTATTTTAAATGTTAAAAATTGTCTGCAATCATTCTTCTGCATGTAAAATATTTTAAACGATTGCCTCCCCTTAGACATATTTCTGCGGGTGCCTATGGTACACATTATTTAAGTACGTATTATTATTATTGGTATTTTACACGATTTAAAAGTTCCGTGCGACGACCAGCCGAATGTTTCGCAATGTTTCCCATCCTAAGGACCGTGGACCACTGGTAGTCCGCGAGACATCGTGTGGTGGTCCACGAGAATATGTACCAACCTAGTAAATAGTATGGACGTAAAGCAATAGTGGTTGTCAGAGTTTATTACGGTGTTTATTTATACATTTATTGTACATAATGGAATTTATGATTTTATTACTCATTAAATAAAAAAAGGTACGGGCACACTTCGCACAACGGTTGGGTTACTGTTGTAAGTAAGAAGTGGGGAAGGTAGGATACAGAAGGAAATTTAATGTGTATCTGTATGCAACGATTAATCTTTGCTAACAAAAACGATTTTGAACGAAGTTCGGTTGTACATATTTTTAAAAATTGTACAATACATTCAATTTATTTTGTTACCATAAGATGCGACTTATATAATGAAATTTCTATTAAATTTTCAAGCATGTGTATTTGGTCTATCCACAAAGTACCTACTAAATAAAAATTGCATACAAAACTCGCAAAGTTAAAATATCTATAAATAGCTTAAAAATGTCTAAAATGTCTTAAACAATTTTCCCAATATAGAAAAGGCAATTATAAGTTTTTGTTTAAATTTCAATTCTCTACAAATAGTGCTAGAATTGAAATTCGGAGCAAAATGTCTAGTATACAAAAAAAATATAATAAATAAATATCATCATAAAATCAATACATTCTTCGCTCCACATAGAATCTAAAAGTACAAAAGGCATCAAAAATAATGCCCTGTTGAGTAACCTAGTTAATATGTAATATCTTAAATCGTGATATTTACGCATTATTTTTTTCGATAATGATTTGAACTAGGTTAAAACTCCGAACCAGACCTTTGACACTTTAGATACATAAAATGTAAATATGTTAATGTACGTAGGGGAGCAACAATTAATCCGCAGAAGGGCAGTTGCATACGCCCTCTCCCTCCGTAGTATCACCTATGGATATAATGCTTATCATTATCATTAATGCTTTGTGTACTTTGTATCACCTCCCTCTTTTAGATTTTTTTTAAATGCATTTTATGGTATTTTTTACAATAATTCCTTTGTGATTTCATAAATGTTTTATCTACATTTTTATGGGTACTTTATTACAAAATGGTTTTTTTTTTACAAAAATATTTGTTTCTAAAAGTATGTTGACATAAAAGAAAATGTGTGCGTGTGTTGTATTTTAATCCCGACG